GTGCTTTCGGTTCGGTACGCATATGTATCGAACAATACAAAATTTTTAATTTATTTTATCAACTTTCCTTCTGACGGTGCTGTCTCTGTGTAGAGCAGGTTATTTTCCACTAAATCGATTTCATGCTCATCCCACAGCTAAATGAGTGAAGGACCAGATCAAATCTTCCTGAAATAAGCCTAGATTGCTTCCACCTGTTCTCTTATGTAACAGCCACATAGTGAGGATTTACGTGGCGTCCAGTTAACGCTTGCCTTGTGCGCTTGTGCGTCTTCTTGCTCCGTCCCCGCTTCTTCTCCGCGTGTCTCATCTCTGGAGACCTGCGGCTCGTCTCGGAGGAATATGAGGGCCAGATGGCTTCTAGATCAGCTGTTTCAGGACACTTTCCCCATTGATTTTCACAGCTCTGTCTGCCGCTGAAGGAAGAGAGGAAAGAGGAAGGAGCAGGAGTCAGAGAGCAGGGGTCTGGGGGTGGAGGAGTATGGATCAATATTCTACTGAACCTCTATAAGATGCTCTCAGAAGATTTGCATGCAATTAAACAACAGAATAAAAGAATCATTATCATGTTTACTTTGAATAACTTCCACTCAATGCTGCTTTCACCCCATCTGCTGCCTGTACTGTTACCATTAAAGTTACAGCTGCACTTTGCTTTCTTCTTCTGTTGTTGTAAAAAAAAGATGGAGAACAACAGAAAACAGGAAAATAAAAGAAATGGAAAATGATAAGAATAAAAAATGAAAAGAAAAGAAAAAAATAGATTTTTTTCATTTAGTGGTGAGATGAATCTAAGTGGTTACATGTTTTCAGTTTCTGGCTAAAATTACCAAGCTCCATAAGAGGAGAAAACAAAGGGAAAAACAGAGAGAGAGTGTGTGTGTGTGTGGGCTGCATTTTTGCCTACACACAGCTACACAGAATCTGGGCATTGCTTCCTAGATCCTCACACACTCAGTGTTGTAATCTTATTATTGTGTTGTGTTGTTTTGGCAAAAAATGTTGCAATGAGAGGGGAAGGAGAGAAAAAAAGGATTGTTTCACTGCACTGGAACTTCATGCTTTCAAAGATGACATTTATAATCCGTACCAGACTTAAATGATTAAAAAATACAGAACTACAAGACTATCAGAGGAGATGAACCTTCTATTGCGAAGTAAGTGTAAAAAAAATTAAACATTTTAAGGTTTTGCATTAGACATTTATGTTCACCTCATATTCATTTTATACCTTTAGAAACTCAGAAAAGCCTCCATGCTGGCAGTTACTTGTGTTTTCACCGGTAAATGTCAGGAGAACCGTCATTGTCCAAAGTTTCTTGTTCTAAAATGTATCGCACAGGAAAGGACTTTTCCTGTCATTCAACGTCTCACTACTGGGAGGATTGTTTTTGGTTTAGGCTACAGTGCCATCTGGGTAGAGCGTGCAGGAGGCAGGACATGCGCTGAACACTTTGTAGTTGTAAATTCAGTAGACTGGCACTAATGTCACAATGGTGCAAATCAACTTTTGTGCTCACACACACCATCGCTGTCAGGTAAGCTCTGAAAGCTCAGAGTGCATCTGTAAAAAAGAAGAAGCAGAAATAATCAAGATGTCGGTGAAGAAGGTAAAAATTTGATCCAGGGTTTTGATTGGTGCTGAGGCAACAAGAACCTTTTAATTTTCTTTATTGACATTTCATCAATCAAGAGTCGGTTGGGGCATGGGGCTTTATGCCATGGCTGGCATAAAGCCCCATGCTTTCAGAAGGTATATTTACATGTCTAACACTGTGGTGAGAGGGCCAAAGTGTAGTTTACTTTGCATAGTGAAATCTATAAACTGCAAAAAAAAAGGAAAAGGAAAGTCTAAGAAAGATCTAAGAAAAAGAACTGTAGATTTACACAAGTTAGGAAGGCCTCTGGAAGCTGTTTCTAAACATCTCTACGATCATTAGTTCAACATACTTGACAGTTTGAGTCTGGAAGAACCCAAACTGTCACCCTCAAATGACAGGAAATTGGTTAGGATGCTCAGGAACAATCCAGAAACCACCGAGCCTCAAGCCTGCCATCAATTGGAAACTGCTGGAACACCACCGTCACTCACCACTGTAAAAGTAAGTTTTATATTTGTATAGGGTGGCTGTAGCCCAGGTTGCTCTGCAATGCATTCATAGGAGTATAAATGTGTGAGAATGTTTGATAGAAAGTAGTTACACATTTAAAAACAGTGCCTGTATGAATAGGTGTGAAGGGGCATGTTGTTCAAAGTGCTTCGGGTGCTCAGGTGGAGTAGAAAAATGCAAGAATCAGTCCATTTATCATTTATGTCACCATGAACTAAGAGAGTGCAGCCTGAGAAAGAAGACTCTGCTTCAAAATCAA